CTTTGTCTCAGACTATCGGCGTTTTCTGTGAGTGTTCATGACTTTAGGTGAACACAGAGATGAACACACAGTCAGCTACGTATTTATTTTTTAGTTTTCAGAGCTGCTTTTGTATTATTGTTATTATTATCACTTTATCATGACTGACACTTGTTTTACAGAAAGAAAATAGTCGGTTACTCTCCAGTGCAGACCCTTTACTTTTATTTATACAGCCGCTTTATTTCATCTGAGTTTGTTTGTTCAAGGTTTCCAAAATCTGATGAAGGTTCGGACAAATAAAAGCCACATGTATAAGCTCTCAAATCCTTTTTGAATGTTGCTCCTATCTGTTACAGAGGCTGAGATATCAGCTTTTTTATAAACACTTCAGAAAACCTCAGGATCTGGGGGCCCTTCTCAAAGTGGCCCTCAGGATCTCAGAGTCTCAGACCGGGTTCAGGTCTTAAGAGCGGGAAGTATGATCCTCTATTTCTCAAGTCTGAACCATCATCAGTTCAATTTTTGTTCCTAACGACCACTTTTCATCTTCCAACCAAATGTATTTTATTACATTATTACTAATTTGTTCATCCTGAGTTACCATAGAAACATGACATCTCCAAACATTAATGTATCTTCAGAATTAGAGAGATGGTGGTGATGGTGAGTTCAGAAATGTTTGCTATGTTAGCCGTCTTGCTACCTGTTGCTAGGCAACAGAAGCAGCTCTCTCTGTGGGATGCAGGGGGCAAAACAGCTGGTGACAAGAGCTGCAGATCTCCTTTCAGCTCAGTTTGAGAGGTGTACGGATCAGTCAGAGGATCTGATTCTTAAATACCTGCAGAGTGAACTCTGCAGAAATAAGAGGTGTGTGTTTTTTTTAAGGTTATCACGGTGAAGAATGAGTCTTCTATGAATCCAGTTTTTCAGTTTTGCATGTTATTGTTATAATTCCTTTTCCTAATGAAGCACAGTTATCTCATTTACTTCTCATTTGAACACCACAGGGTTCCTAAAACAAGGAGGAGGCGATTCTTCTAGAAAGATCTGAGGAACTCGCCTCTCTCTCTTTCCTTCAGTGAAGCTGCAGATGTATCAGATACTGCGTGTGTGCAGATCTAAGATTGAATCCCAAATTAAGAGTCTCTGCATCCACACCACTGCTGCGCTCCAAATAACACAATCTGAGGCACATTTATTTTTGATCACAGTTGGTGTGAGGTACATTGAATATTCCCTTTGCATCACATTGATTGGATTCCCCTCTGCTCACAGACGGTCTCTGAAGGCTGATGACTCTCTCATAGCTGCAACCTGCTCTGACCTCTGTTTGCAGTTATTTCTCAGCAGCCTCTGAACTGCCGAGAAGATTTGATTCAATCTGGTCCCCCTCCTGCTCCAGAGGAACAGAGTCTGGGGGAAGAGTGTGGCCTCCTCGCTGCAGAGTCTGTCACATTTTAATGAGAGTCATCTTATATTTCCATCAGTTTCACTTCCACACAAAGCAGACCCAAACACATCCATCATATTGTCCAAATCTGCGGGCAGGGCGAGGGAGAGAGAGAGAGAGGGAGGGAGGATCAGTAACACACACACACACACAAACACACACTCACATAGACACTCTCCTGTTTGAGAAACCATTACTGGACTGCTTCTGCGGACCACAGCCTGTGCAGTGAGTGGAATAAACCGGTCAATAGCATCTGTTTCGTCTCTTTAAGGCCTTATTTCTGATTTCTCCGCGGCTGCTGGAGTTTCTGTCTTGGACGACAACAGGTTGTGTGAGAATTTCAAGTGGTTATCAGAAATCCCTGGTAGTCTGAATGAGGCTTTAGTTCAGCTCTGTGCAGGGTTAGCTCTGATTTTTTGAGGGGCTTATTGAGAAAGACCCTGCACATTTCAATACCCACCTGACTACACCTGAGCAGCTGCAGCGCTAACTCGACCTGGAAGTAACAAACCTGGGACCTTAACCTCAGAAAAATGGACGCTTTGGGGCGAGGGTGGACGAATAAATCGATAAAAACAGACTAAATTTGTAAAAGACATGCCACGATAATGACAGACTGTGAGGATTTAAACTGTCATGCACTCCTATAGAGAGACGTTTTAACCTACACTTACAGATATGAACATTAAATGCATAATTTCTCGAAGCGTATTCTTAAGCTGCACTTTCCCGCCATTATTTTCTATCGTCTCTGCATTAACGTGATAGTAAAATTTCACTAGATACTGTATAAAAACCCATAAAAGTGGTTAATAAGCCACTTTTTAGACCTTGTAAGATGTAAAGAAATGTTAATATATGTTAAGAGTTAATGGAAGCATAATTATGCATTAATTATGGCTTATAACACATGTATAGGTTCTCATTAGAAACTTGTGAATCGTTTCTATCCCTGATAAAAACACTGAAGGGGTTAATTAAAGATAAGTTAACTTATTTATTATAAGTTTGTTATAGGGAACCCACTAGACAGCTTTAGATATACATGAAACTATTTTATTAACAATAATTTAACAGTATAACCCTTTATTATATTCATCACTACCTTTAATTTTCGTATGAAAACTCTTTAATCACACACTGGAATTATGACCACGTAATTAAAGACCACTTATTCACCTTTAATTATTACATGGTGGGCTCTCATTAGTTTAGTTTTTTTTTGGTTTTGTAATTTAGTGTTATTTTTCTGTGTATTTTATCCGAGTGTTTCTTACCCAGACATTAACAACAGCACATATTAGAGAATATTGTCAAACTATGTTATTATTTTTAGTAACACTTTACAATAACCATAATTTTTAAAAGGCTAACAGATAGTTTATTAATGTAAGTTAATAGTTACTTTACCATAACAAGCAATGAAATTATGATTAATAATGTTCATTTATTATTAACAGACTATTTATAAAAGGTTTATAAAGGGTTTAAATATTGGTTGTAAAACATTTAGATTAAAATGTGCATCAGCAGCACTTTGTAAATGTTTAATATTTGTTTTTTAAACCATCTTTAAACATTACTTAGATGGTTATTGTAAAATTAGGGTTAGGTTTTTAAAACTGTAAAATTCATGGTCTATATGCTATTTATCAATGATGATTTAACATTAATAAACTATCTGCTTACCATTTATGAGTCATGGTTATTCTAAAGTGTTACTGGTGTTTTTTATTGTTAGTTAGACCTAACGAGGGTTAATTAAAGAAACGTTAGCTTATTCATTTTGAGTGTATAACACAGTTGTATGAAACCTACTACTAACAGCATTGAGACAGCTTTAAAAATATATAAACAATGCTTTTTTTAACATCAATATAATGGTATAATCCTTAATCAAAATCATAATTACCTTTATTATTGCACGAAAACTCTTTAATCACGTACTGGCAGTAAGACCTCCTAATTAAAGACCAAATTGTGTCATGGTGGGCTCTCATTAGTTTAGTTTTGTAATCCTCGTTTTGTAATTCAGCTGTATTTTTATCGTAAAACCACGTTATTATTATTATTTTATCAAAGGTTACAGACAGAATATCATCTCCTGACTCCTGGTTAGTGGAGTGACTTTGAGGTTAGCTGACTGATTTCTTACAGGGGTGGAAAAAAAACACCTCTGAAGTTTGTTTAGACGTGATCTCCTCAACCCGTTGTAAGGTGGGGACAGTCAGGATTAATGTGGCTGTACGTCTTTTATCTCCGCTTTAAGTCCCCACAGGTGGCCGTGCTTTTTCTCTCTCCTCGTCTGAGTATCAGAGGACAAATAAATACAACCAAAGGACACGGAGAGGGCAGACAGAACGAGAGGAGAGAAAAAAAGAGGAGAGGATACGGAGAACAATGGGAAGGCTGGGGGAAGAAGAGGCTGGAGCAACAGTGATAAAAAGTAAGTGGGGTTAGAGTGGTCCTCTAAGGAGACGGAGAGATACAGACTGTGAAAGAGGAGGAAGGAGAGAGACGGGACGAGGGAGCGGAGGGTTCAAATGAGAGGACCCAGGAGAGACGATCATAAAGCATAAGTGGGCCCGCTGAAGAGAGAGAGAGAGAGAGAGAGCTCTGCAGTGACACTAAAGAGGATAGGGACTTCCTCTCCTCACAGGAGACTCGTCTAACTTCATGACACTCTCGGTCCACTGAGCAGAGCGGCCATGTTTTCCCTCGACGGCGTCTTTACAGAGCGGAACAACAAAAGTCTTGACGATTTACAACTTGTTTTTTTCTGTTTCAATCCATAACCAAGAAAAAAAATGATTTTTTTTACTGTCACATGTGCATCAAAGTTTAGAGGGTGATTAGAGACAGAAAAAAGTTTTGATAGATTTACATTATAACCAAGACAGCTGCAGTGAAACAGGCTGTAATGGTGCATCCATGGCTGAACATTAAACAGTCTGTATTTTAGAGTCAGCTGTTGTTTTTATGAAAGCAATCCTGACCTAAAATAATAAAAACTGGGTCCAGATCTTAGACTGTATACACTATGAACAGCTTGGTTCTGCTTTTCGCCAGTATACGGATTGGAAGCCGAAAAGCTCTCGGTAATTCTGCGTTCTTTCTCCACTTCCTGAAACCAACATTGTGCAGTACCATTGTATCCACTTCACCACTTGTGCAGTAACATTGTGGCAGGAGAGTCTCCAAGAGTCGGCTCAAACAGTGTATCCTCCGGCTGAGCTATGAGATCTTCGTACACCCATAGGCTGTATCAGGTGTCAATCATAGAAAACATGAACCCCCTAATAACTTTTAAAATCAACTTAACAGTTACTTCATGTCAACATCGCAACCAGGGGGGAGAAACATTTATATTCTGTGTCATTAATTTCTAAAGTTTGTCCACAGCTCCATAAACTTTGCTGGCGTAGGCGGGATTTATGACCTATACTGCAGCCCGTCAGCAGAGGGTGCTGTTCTCAGATTGGCGAGGAAGCAGACGGCATCCATTCTATATACATTCTCTGGTCCAGATTCACAAAGACTGGAGTTTACAGTGAAGCTCTCATGGATGGCGGCGGTGTTGGCACGCTCTCAGTATTCAGTCCGTCTCTGCAGTGATGTCTCAGCTCAGCAGGTTCGGCTCTGCAGAGGTATCACTGCCAGCTTTGCCATGTGAAACTCCAAACCGAGCCCCCATCTGCAGCTGTTTTATCAGCTGGAAACACTCAGAGTGAGGACCAGAGTTTTTCTGTCCAAAATCAATGAGGACTGACCCTCTCTGCTTGATCCAGCTCAAAACAAGGAAGGTGCCAGAGCAGACGAGTTAACTAATCCACTTCTGATGGAGTCTGTCAAAGCAGCGGCCTGGAAACGCTGGAAGGACTGGGGTTTTTCTTCAGAGGGATGGGGAGCTAATGACATGACATCCCGCACACCCAAAGGCAAACATGATTTTATTTACAGCTGCTATCTCTGTCATCTGAAGTCGTATTTGAGGGACAGGTTTGCTGTGATGTTCCTTCACAGGGTTGACGACACGGCTTTCAACGAGCAGCCCAGTAAAATCACCGCCGTTAGATTGTTATCACAAAGCAGGGGCAAAAAAAATAAATAAAGTTGTCATATTTTATCTTTAGCTCAGAGCAGACAGGTGATAACTCAGTGAGAGAGGGAGCAGCAAAAGAGAAGATGCATTTCAATCACTATGACTCTGCAAAGTGAAAGTAATGCTGATGAAGAAATTAGCAGTCCTGCACTGGAGGTGTGTGCAGCATCTGTTCTTATCTGTTCATAAATTAAAGCACAGCTAAGCAATATTAACAAAAAACAAAGTATGTAAAAAATGAGAATTAATCACAATTTTAATTTCCTGGTAACACGCCATCCCAGATGTCTTGCAACACAATAAAATGCAACAGCGCAAGTTGTTTTCTGCAGAGCTTTTCTTGCACAGTAGGAGACGGCCGGGATGCCAGAGGCTGTATATGACCTGCGGCCCTTCGCCACGGGCTAAACGGTCAACAACTTTTCAAAGGTATTAAACTCTTAGGATGCAGGAGAGGTCACGAAGAGCAACAAAGGAAATACAAGAACCGAGAACTTTTCTCCTACCAAACCCCTCTGAAGGATTTGTCCGTTTTCTCTTTACCCAAGTTTCATCTGCAGAACAACGCCTACATGCTCAAGGTCAGATCACAAAAAACTCCTTTTTTTATTTACTGGACCTTAGAGATAGTTGGAATTAGGATTGAATGTAAACTCTACCCCTCCCAACCAGTTTTCCCCTCAGCTCCTCCTCTCCCCTCAAGCCCCGCCCACAAACAGACGCTCCTGCTCGCTCGTATCGTTCCAATTAAATTCAGATATAATGCAGATAAATACTTCAGATCATTACAAATGGGGCCCAGTCAAGGTGAAAGTCAAAAGCATTGGTGCTACTGTAGATGCCAACAGACTACCAGCAAACACAATGTTTGCAGGACTTCTACAACGAGGATAAAGTGACATAGTCCAGGACCCGAGGGAGGACAGTTTAGCGATGGCGCTACAACACGCTACAGCAGGTCTGTTTGACAAGAAACACTTCTGTTACAGACACTTGTCTTACTTTGTTAAAGCGGTTTACCTGTCCAGCAGAAAGGTTACAGGGTCACCAAGATCCCCAAGCGTCCCCCATCGTTTATGCTAGCTTCATTGACTATTGGTGGTGTCGAGTTACCAAGGAAGTCAGATATCGGAGCTGAAAATGACGTTACACCCAAGTTCCCAAGATGGCTTGCCTTATATTCGGTCAAAGCTAGCGCTAAAATAACTTTCGTCGATGTAGCCATCTTCTTTCAGGCCTCCGATTTTACTCTTTTTCCGACTTGGTAACTGAAACGCTGGGAACTTGGGTGTGATGTTATTTTTATCTCTTGTCCGGTCTACCTCCATTTTAAGCGCCCGTTATTCCTCCAGAGTCTCCGGTATTTACTTTGTTTTCTTGCTTGTGTCGGCAGTCGTGGCCAAAGGAGGATTCAGACAATTTTCAGAACTTTCTGGTTGGTTTCTACTGTCCGATATTGTAGCACGCTAACTTTGTTTGGGCAGCGTCTGCCTCACAACCAATCAGGTTAGAGGAGGTGGAGAACGGCTTTGTTTACAGTCAGAAAGAGCGGACCGTTGACTACACAGGCATAAGAGAACACAGAGATATCATTTTATTTCCAAATGTCATCAATAAATGATAGCTACTGACTGATATTAAAAGCTTTTTTGTACATTCACCACAAATAAAGATGCTTCTTTAACGTATTCCTGCCTACCGCACCTTTAAATCATCTATTGCTTTGGACAAAATCCACTAAACTCTCAACATTTTACCTTTATAGAGAATGCACTCAAGTTTGGATGAATGCAAAGTTGCACAAAGTGATGGATTAAACAATAATACGTCAGTTTCGGTTGATCTATAACATTGATTCTCCTTTTGACCGATCCTTGTTCACATCAGTCCTAACAGATATCAGATACTGTGTGTAGATGTTTGTGTAAATGCTTCTTGTTTGTCTCCAGGTCCGTTTTAAGCTCAGGATCTGCAGCCCCAGCAAAGCGCTTTCAGAAACTGTGAATCGATGATAAATCCTGCTGGGTTTCCAAATAAAAATGGAACTTTAAACGCCCCACTTAGACCTCTTCTCAGCTGCTCTGCCCTCATCTTAAGAGTTGAAAATCTTTGAGGATTTGTTGACCACACAGCCTGCAGCCGGGGGCTTTAGGTCAAAGAGAGCCTCTGGCGCCATGACCGTCTCCTTAGGTACACAAAACACCGAATATCAGCTCAGAAAACTCTGAACAACACCGCTCGTGTGTGGATGCGGTTGGTTATTTGTTGGTTTTGAATAAAACTCTGATTTAATGTGGAAGGAAGCTCAACGAAGATGTTTAAAAAGCCTCAATATCAGCTGAAGGTCATGCTGGGACCTTTGCTCCATGAGGGAGAAATAAAACTGTAAAAATGTCTGAGTGATGCTGCAGAAATGCTGCCAATTATACATAATATTCAACAGTGGACGAGCGAACAACAACATTAATTCAAACAGACACATTTAGATGCTGCGTTTGGTAAGAGGGGAGCTCTCTAGAGTAAATGATGTCTGTTTTTTCACCGTTATCTCACTAACAAATGGAAATGTTACGCTTTTATTCGAGTCAATCTACATATGCAAAGGCAGAGCAAAATGAAACTGCATGTTTATTAAAGCCACACCCTGGTGATCCACCGTTCCCTGTGATTATGGGGGAAAATTACACCTAATGTGGGTGCGGCAGTAAAACATCATGCACCCATTATGTCTTTGAGAGCCATTTACTGCATTAGAAGGTGGCATGTCAGTAAATGAATGCAATTATTGATTCAAACTAAACGCTGTGTTGTGGGTCCTTTCATTTAAACGCTGCTCGCTTTATTTATTTTCGGTGGAAACAGTTTTGATTTCAACTAAAAAGCTCAAAGGGAGAAACTCTCTAAATGTTGGTGATGGAGTTCATGCTGCTAAAACTATATAATGGGCTGAAAATATGTTTATTTTTTAATCCTAAATTGTCAAATATAAACCCTCAAGAGTGACATAAAAACTCAATCTTGTTTGAGGATCTGGGGCACATCTATGTTTTTGATTTCAGAGTCTTCTTCAGTTCTGACAAAGGTAATGTTCAGTAATCTCTGCAGGTGTGTTAAAGGGATATTCCGGCGTATCGTTACTAAAGTTGGTATAACTAGAGAAGCAAGCGGTCGGCAACATTCATCTCTGGAGGGGGGGTCTAACTCAGTGTTTGACCCTAAATCAATTTTACGCCAGAATATCCCTTTATCTGTGATGTGAGGTTAATGTTTGTACTGAAGATGATGCTGTATACGTCATTTTAAATCGTTTTGTTTGATGCTAACTGTTTTAGTCGACCAAAGCTAAGTTAGGGTGGCTGTAGATCCCTGTGGAGTCCCCCAAGGATCACTTCTTGGTCCCCTTTATTTTGAGCTTCATCCTCCTTTGTCCTGTCTTTTCCAATCGTCCCTCAGCCACAGAAATCTACATGATGAAAACACAGCTAAAGCCGTCCTTTATTGCTCTTATCCTATTTGTGATTTGTAAGCCGTCTGTACCAACGCTCTTTAATACATTGACCCATCAGTGACACTAGAGGAAAAGTCAGAGGTCACCACAGTCATGAGGAGTCATTTGTTTGAGTATATATCCTCTAAAATGTGCAGGCCATAGAGCTTTGACACATAGATGTCCAAAATTCCTGCTGAATAATTTTATAAATAGGATTTCACATTTCCCACACTAGCTGTTCGGTTAGCATCTAGTGTGTCTTTATCTGTCGTGTTCACACCATAAATCCTCTCGAGCCGGGACACTTTCAACAAAGATTTTTTTGTTTTTCCCACGTAGGCTGGTACCGCCGGCTTCAGACTGCCCGTGGATATTTGTTTGAATGTTTAGCCATGGGTGCAGACAGAGATATGTTTCCTTTCCAAAACAGGAGGCAGTGTTTATATTAAACCATCACTGTTGAGCATAGTTTCAGCACTGTGGTGCAGAAATGGGGCAGAAAAATAACATGAAATATCTGGGGGGTGATGTTTGGAGAGTGACAAGCTGGCCGGCTCTCGATTTCTGGACGGTCGAGCATTTGCGGTTTGAAATTTAATTTCTTAGAAACATCCAGGCCGTTTGTCATAGATTTGTTTATACATGTTTCCATTTAGCCCGAACAGGGCTTTAGGGGGATTAACTGGACTTTATTTGCCATTTGACAAGGGAAAGTAATATCTTTTTACATTGTAGCTTTTAAGCAATCCCACCCAAAGTTTTACGGTGTCAGACTCTGAAGCCATGTCTAATGGGCTTGGCACGCAGAATATACCCCTTCCAGTTTTATACACACGCTAGTGGAAGTGCTCTCAGCGAGATGAGCTTACATGACTAATATTTTATATGCATGCAAATGGAGAGCATGCCTCCAGATGCTGGCAGTCATAACAAGGCAGGCCAGCAGCCAAAAACAGAGGAAAAGTTGAAGGAAATATGGAAAATGAGAAATATCAGTGGCAGCATCTGAGCGGTGACCGAAGATCAATTTGGGAGTGGAAAGTGTTTGGCCCGTTTTTATCTCCGTTCCTGATCTTCCTCCACTTGTTACTCTCTGTTTTCATTCAGTCTCCGCAGATCTGAGCTGCGAGCTGATAGTGATTGATTGATGGTCGTTGAGCCGCAGATGCATGGCTGTGGTTGTCATTGTGCAGAAATCAGGCCTGAAGGAAGAGCTGAGATTACACAGGAAATGGATTAGGCGGGGACAGAAGTCTGGCATTTGTGTATTTCCCAAAGCTCTCGTGTTTCTCTCTGGCTGCTATCTGGTCAACAGTGATGTCGCACTTTTCTAAACACTCACTGTTGCTTATTGTTGTGGGCTCAAATGTTTGCATAAAGGCTTACGATGTGAGCGAGAAACGCGCATGTCGGCTTGAACTCGGCCCAGGAGCTGATCGGGAATTTGTGCATGGCACTAAACCACTTATTTGTGATGCTGAATCGACTTTGACATAAATTTACAGAATCAAAGGAAAAC